GTGAGTGTGGCAAGGTCTTTACTCAAAGTTCACAGCTTGCAATTCATCGTAGAATTCATACCGGAGAAAAACCTTACAAGTGTAGTGAGTGTGGCAAGGTCTTTACTCAAAGTGCGAATCTTGCTCGTCATCGTAGAATTCATACTGGAGAAAAACCTTCCAAGTGTAGTTAGTGTGACAAAGCCTTTGGTGTGCGTTCAAGCCTAACTGCCCATCAGGCAATCCATACTGGAGTGAAACTATATACATGTCACAAGTGTGGCAAATCCTTTCTTCAGCGTTCACGCCTTGTGACCCATCAGGTAATCCATGCTGAACAGAAGCCTTACAAATGTCAAGAATGTGGCAAGGTCTTTAGTTGCAATTCACACTTTAGACAACATCAGAGAATTCATACTTGAGAGAAATCTGACAAATGGAATGACTATGGCAAACTCCTCATCATGCGTTCAAGCATTAATCTGCATCAGAGTGTCCATAGTAAGGAGAAATATAACTGTAGTGTATGTTCCAGAGGTGTTTTTCAGGACTCATAACTCACTAGCATCAAAATATAGATTTTAAACATTGTATGCATTTTATTACTTTTACAGAAGGATCAAAACTTGAATATCAGAAAATTTATACTGGACAAGAACCTCAGAAATGCAATGAATACAGCAAGGTTTTATATCACACATTCATGATTCTGGAATCATGAGAGGATTTATATTGAAGAGACCCCAGACAAATGCAGTGAATGTGGAAAGACCTTTAATCAAATGTGTGTCATCAGGATTTCCCCAAAAATTTATCCTGGAAAGAACCATTATAAATGGAATGATACAANCCTTACAAGTGTAGTGAGTGTGGCAAGGTCTTTACTCAAAGTTCACAGCTTGCAATTCATCATAGAATTCATACCGGAGAAAAACCTTACAAGTGTAGTGAGTGTGGCAAGGTCTTTACTCAAAGTTCACAGCTTGCAAGTCATCGTAGAATTCATACTGGAGAAAAACCTTACAAGTGTAGTGAGTGTGACAAAGCCTTTGGTGTGCATTCAAGCCTAACTGCCCATCAGGCAATCCATACTGGAGTGAAACCATATACATGTCACAAGTGTGGCAAATCCTTTCTTCAGCGTTCACGCCTTGTGACCCATCAGGTAATCCATGATGAACAGAAGCTTTACAAATGTCAAGAATGTGGCAAGGTCTTTAGTCGCAATTCACACTTTAGACAACATCAGAGAATTCATACTTGAGAGAAATCTGACAAATGGAATGACTGTGGCAAACTCCTCATCATGGGTTCAAGCATTAATCTGCATCAGAGTGTCCATAGTAAGGAGAAATATAACTGTAGTGTATGTTCCAGAGGTGTTTTTCAGGACTCATAACTCACTAGCATCAAAATATAGATTTTAAACATTGTATGCATGTTATGACTTTTACAGAAGGATCAAAACTTGAATATCAGAAAATTTATGCTGGACAAGAACCTCAGAAATGCAATGAATACAGCAAGGTTTTATATCACACATTCATGATTCTGGAGTCATGAGAGGATTTATATTGAAGAGACTCCAGACAAATGCAGTGAATGTGGAAAGACCTTTAATCAAATGTGAGTCATCAGGATTTCCCCAAAAATTTATCCTGGAAAGAACCATTATAAATGGAATGATACAATGATCTTTTTTCTTTTTTTAACCAGTTCTCACAACATATTCCACATCAGAGATTTCATACAAGGAATAATTGAGTTACATACTGGAGAATAATTACATGACAAATAATGTTAAAGCTCATGATATATCAGATTGCAAGGACGTTTGGAAATGGCCAGTTATCTTCAGGTTATAAAATGTTTTCTTCAACTATTTGGAGTTTCTTCAGAAGACTACTTTACCATTTACTCATATGTCTTTTACTGTGGACTTTGAAATCTTTTGATATTATGCATCTTTATTATGCATCTTTTGATGGTGGAGTCCGGGAAAGAATCAATAGGAGTAAAGGGACTTCTTCATTGGGTGAGGATTATTTGTATTCATGTTCCTGGTATAATAAGGACACTGCCTTTTAAAATTAAACATTGTCTAAATTAGCATTTGTGAAAGACTGAGAGTAATGTAAAGTCATGCTTATTGCATTTAGGGCACTTTTGACACTGAAGGCCATTGTAAATTATAGGAAAGGATTGCTCTATCAAAAGACAGCAAAATAGAGCAGACCAAGATCATAGGACACAGAGATTTTTATGGGAGGAGAGTGGTAGGTTACTTGGGACTGATTACATGGTAAAAATAACACAGGAGAAAGGGGGGCCACCTTTTTATTGATTAAAAGTTAGCCTTTTTTTGGAAATTGATGAGAATAATTATGAGAGGGAGAGTTTAAAGAACCAGAATAACTTGTTCTTGGGTAGGATTCACATTTAGTGCTGGCCTTACATTTTGCTATTGTTTTATTCAGAACATACCCCAGGTCATATGTTTTAACTAATAAAATATTGTCTTTTTTCCATACCCGTGAAAGAATCATGGTCCTTCTACCACTTCATAAGGATACTTCAAAAACAGAAAGTAACAATGCACCATTAGGCTCTTAAGGTTGAAGGATCTATAACAATTTATTTCCGTGGTGGAATCTAACATAATGCAATTTTGGGAACCTATACTCATTCTTTGCACTTGAGTTATTCTCTCTGAACTCTAACTTTGAAATCTTTTGATATTATGCATCTTTATTATGCATCTTTTGATGGTGGAGTCCGGGAAAGAATCAATAGGAGTAAAGGGACTTCTTCATTGGGTGAGGATTATTTGTATTCATGTTCCTGGTATAATAAGGACACTGCCTTTTAAAATTAAATATTGTCTGAATTAGCATTTGTGAAAGGCTGAGAGTAATGTAAAGTCATGCTTATTGCATTTAGGGCACTTTTGACACTGAAGGCCATTGTAAATTATAGGAAAGGATTGCTCTATCAAAAGACAGCAAAATAGAGCAGACCAAGATCATAGGACACAGGGATTTTTATGGGAGGAGAGTGGTAGGTTACTTGGGACTGATTACATGGTAAAAATAACACAGGAGAAATGGTGGCCACCTTTTTATTGATTAAAAGTTAGCCTTTTTTTGGAAATTGATGAGAATAATTATGAGAGGGAGAGTTTAAAGAACCAGAATAACTTGTTCTTGGGTAGGATTCACATTTAGTGCTGGCCTTACATTTTGCTATTGTTTTATTCAGAACATACCCCAGGTCATATGTTTTAACTAATAAAATATTGTCTTTTTTCCATACCCGTGAAAGAATCATGGTCCTTCTACCACTTCATAAGGATACTTCAAAAACAGAAAGTAACAATGCACCATTAGGCTCTTAAGGTTGAAGGATCTATAACAATTTATTTCCGTGGTGGAATCTAACATAATGCAATTTTGGGAACCTATACTCATTCTTTGCACTTGAGTTATTCTCTCTGAACTCTGCTCTAAGATACTTATGTAGGTATAATGAAACCCATACCAGTGCATGTTCTGACTCTTCACACCTAAAACCTGTATCCCTGTTGATGAATATGCAGCATATTATTGTATTTCTACATGCCTTTTTCTTGTGTGCCAAGTAAGACCAATGGCACGCACCTTGATTTT